TTTTTTCTTTTTTTTTCAGTGCATAAGGTGGAATCCATACCTTTGTGTATGCTAAGTAGGTACTCTACTATAGAGCTATATTTCCATTCCAACAGATCAGAAAAAGGAGTAGAGGAAGTGCCATAGATTCTTAGTTTAAAGCTCACATAGGATCAGAGGTTAACTCTAGTTAAGCTTTGCCATTTTAGAGTCAGAAGTATGTGTGATGAAGGATGGCTCCTTAATGTAGTATAATTAGATAGAACTAAGCTGTAGGAAGAATGATTGAGTGGTTTATAGATCAATCATAATTCATATCACCTAGAAGAAATAAAGCAATAAAAATAAATGGCTAGAGTATGATTATATTGCTGTAACATTTTTGTTTTTCTCTGTAGGCTAAAGCTTTCTCATTTATTTTTCATTTCTAGACCTGACTCTGCTTGACACTAAAAATTCTCAGCAGATATTTCATGAATGGATTATTGTATATAGAACTCTCACTTAAGAAAGCTTAGTTTATTTGTATTAAATTGTTTTTGGATTCTGTAAAAATCTATTTCTGGGCCACAGGAAAAAAATAAATCTAGTTTCTCTTTGGTACGGGAGAATTGTCTGTATTCTGTCAATCATGTTTTAAATAAACGCTGATTGGCCAGGCAGGAAGTATAGGTGGGTAAACCAAATAGGAAGTAGAACAGGAGAATGCTGGGAGGGAGGAAGCCCATTCCTCCATTCCTGCCTAGACCACAGAGAAGCAAGATGTAACCTGCCCCGCTGGAAAAGGTACTGAGCTACGTGGCTAACACAGACAAGAATTATGGGTTACCGTAAGATGTAAGAATTAGTTAATAAGAAGCCTGAGCTAATGGGCCAATCAGTTTATAATCTTATGGAGTCCTGTGTGTGATTTTTTTTGAGTCTTGCTGGCTGTGGGGTACTGGGCAGGACAGAAACCCCAACAAGCAGGCCCCCTCATGTTACAGCTCTTGAGGTATTATCTGGCCAAATCCTTTCGTTTTCAGTCAAGGTAAACATTCATAGTTTATCACATTAAGTCACCTGAAGCCTAATTCTCTGCTATTAAGATTGCTATGATTGACAAGGAAGTGGGTAACAGTTTATTTCTCTGCTGAACATTTTTCTAGTTTATGCTCTAAAAGTAGCCCATGGTGTTATTATCTTAGCATTCTTCTTAGTGCTAATGGTTTTTTTTAAAATATTTATTTATTTATTATGTGTACAATATTCTGTCTGTGTGGATGTCTGCAGGCCAGAAGAGGGCACCAGACCTCATTACAGATGGTTGTGAGCCACCATGTGGTTGCCGGGAATTGAACTCAGGACCTTTAGAAGAACACGCAATGATCTTAACCACTGAGCCATCTCTCCAGCCCCAGTGCTAATGGTTTTAACCTAGCTTATATTCCTTGCCTTAATAGTATTCATTAGGAGTTATAAAATTGCTATATCTTGTACATTATAGAATTGACTTTTAATTCTTTCATTTGTATTATTAGCTGTTTTGTCTATCTGAGGCAGGGTTTTCTATGTTACCTTGCTATTTTAATATGTATGGGTGTTTTGCCTTAATAAATATCTGTACACCACTTGTGTGTCTGGTAGCCTCAAGAGGCCAGAAAGGACCATTATGTTTGCTGCAGCAGGAGTTACAGACAGTTGTGAGCCACCATGAGGGTACTGGGTTTGAGCCCTGGTCCTCTGAAAGAACAGACGGGGATCTTAATCTTTGAACCATCTCTTTACTAGCCACAAAATCAGGCTCTGTTAGTTGTCGTTCTTTTGTGAAGTAGTGCTTTCCTTTAGCTGAGGTTTGATTTCTCTGTGCCCTTCCTTTCTGAAAGGATAACTAGATAAGCTTTTCTCTCTCTTTTTAAATTATTGTTTTTATTGAGCTGTATATTTTTCTCTGCTCTCCTCCTTTCCTCCCCATTCTCCTTCTACCCTCTCCCATGATCCCCCATGCTCCCAATTTACTTAGAAGATCTAGTTTTATTTACTTCTCATGTAGATTAGATCCATGTCTCTCTTAGGGTCCTCTTTGTTGTCTAGGTTCTCTGAGATTGTGAATTGTAGGCTGGTTTTTCTTTGCTTTATGTGTAAAAGCCACTTATGAGTGTGTGCATATTATATTTGTCTTTCTGGGTCTAGGTTACCTCACTCAATATGATGTTTTCTAGATCCACCCATTTGTCCACAGATTTCAAGGTGGTGTTATTTTTTTTCCATCGTGTAGTACTCCATTGTGTAAAATGTACCACATTTTCTTTATCCATTCTTCTGTTGAGGGGCATTTAAGTTGTTTCTAGGTTCTGGCTATTGCAAATAATGCTGTTACAAACATAGTTGAGCACATGTCCTTGTGGTACGACTGAGCATTCTCTAGGTATATACCCAAAAGTGGTATTGCTGGGTCTTGAGGTAGGTTGTTTCCTAATTTTCTAAGAAACCGTCATACTGATTTCCAAAGTGGCTGTACCAGTTTGCACTCCCACCAGCAATGTAGAAGTGTTCCCTTTACCCCACAACCTCTCCAACATAAGTTGTCATCAGTGTTTTTGATTTTGGCCATTCTCACAGGTGTAAGATGGAATCTCAGAGTGGTTTTGATTTGCATGTCTCTGATGGCTAAGGATGTTAAACATTTTCTTAGTGTCTTTTAACCATTTCAGATTTGTCTGTTGAGAGTTCTCTGTTCAGGTCTGTACCCCATTTTAAGAAAACATATTCAACAAATAGTGCAGGCATAACTGGATATCAACATGTAGAAAAATGAAAATAGATCCATATCTTTCGTCATGCACAAAACTCAAGTCCACATGAATCAGAGACCTCAACATAAATCCAACAACACTGAACCTCATAGAAGAGAAAGTGGGAAGTACACTTGAACGCATTGGCACAGGAGACCACTTCCTAAATATAACCCCAGTAGCACAGACACTGAGAGCAACAATTAATAAATGGGACTTTCTGAAACTGAGGAGCTTCAGTAAAGCAAAGGACAGGCACGGTCAACAGAACAAAATGACAGCCCTAGAATGGGAAAAGATCTTCACCAACCCCACATCGGATAAGGGGCTGATCTCCAAAATATACGAAGAACCCAAGAAACTGATCATCAAAAGAACAAATAATCCAATAAGCCTTTCTCTTTAGGTTATCAGCTCTCTGGTTTTTCTACATCAGAGCGACTAGTTTGTATACTGGTCTCTCTGCTCCTTGCTCTCTCCCTCTTCTCCTTGCTTTGATGGTTATTATGGTAGTATCTCTGCTATTATTTCATCTACATTACGCTTTTCTGTAGGACATGTAACATCATGTTAATCCCTCTTAGCATTCTTTCTTTGAGGTACTCATATTTTATTGATTGTGCTTTAGTCTATTATAATTGTGATTTTTTTTTGCTAAATTATCACTATGATCAATGAAACAGTTCCTTTAGATTTTGCTTTTTGACACTGAAAGATACACTAGATTTATGTATATTTCTTGTATCATATTTACATCTGTCTTTTTGTTTTTGGTAGTTTCTTTTTCTGAAATTTCAGTTGTCTGTGGTCATTATTACTTCAAAAATAATAAGTGGAAAATTACTGAAGTAAGCATAAACTCATAAGCTTTAGATAGCATGCCTAATACTTGTGCTTTCCCACACCCAAGAAATGAATCATGCAGCCGGGTGGTGGTGGTGCACACTTTTAATCCCAGCACTCGGGAGGCAGAGGCAGGTGGATATCTGTGAGTTCCAGGCCAGCCTGGTCTACAAGAGCTAGTTCCAGGACAGGCTCCAAAGCTACAGAGAAACCCTGTCTTGAAAAACGAACGAACGAACGAAAGAAAGAAAGAAAGAAATCATGCATGCCTTTATCCCACGTATTCATACTGTATATATTACCAGCCCCTTAATCATTTGCTCTGGCATATTAAATGAACTATGATAGTACCACAGTGACTAGTGTTCAAGTAATTCTTATTTTACTCAGTGTCCCCAAGACAAAATAGTACAGATATTAGCAGTTTGGTGGATACACTGAAGAAAAGTGTAGTATAGAAGTTTGCCCCATATGATAGTGGAGTTTATTCTAAAATTCGCAGTGGATGCCTAAGACTTTAATGGTACCAAATCCTATGTATTGTATGATTACTCCTCATACACACTTATGTTTAATTTCTAAATTAAGCATGATGGATTAATAGCAGATTATGAATTTGCTTTTCTTAAGTTGAGAACTTCTATAAGTCAAAGAAAACACTTTGCTTTATCTCTTTGCTTACTAAATTCTGAGCATCACTGTTGTTGCTTCTTGAGATATTAGTAAATAAGATACTTAAATATAGGCACTATGATACCTTGACAATATATTCTAAATAATTGCTAAGGGACTAATGAACAGCCAGTGTATAGTGGACATACTGTGTAAAAGCATGATTTCCTGGGTCCCACATGGTAGGAGAGAGTGTTTTCTGCAGTTTTCCCTCTGGCCTCTACATGTATGGCACCTGCAGTTTATATTGATTCAGTTGTAGTTACTCATGTGATGTTTAGATTTTCTTCTTTTGGGTCAATGGAACCCTTTTCAAGCTAACAGCTATGTTTTCTTCAATTATCTCATCTTTATTATCTTTCTGGGTTTAATCAGCTGTGTCCTGGCACTAAAAAAAATCGCTGTTTCTAGCCTGGCAGTGGTGGTGCATGCCTTTAACCCTAGTACTTGGGAGGCAGAGGCAGGTGTATTTCTGTGAGTTCAAGTTCAGCCTGGTCTATAAGAGCTAGTTCTAGGACAGGCTCCAAAACTACAGAGAAACCGTGTCTCAAAAGACAAACAAACAAAAAAATTGCCATTTTTACATGGAACTCCTAATTCCTTTTGGTAACAAATTGTATTTAATGAATGATCCTAATATAGGTGTCTGCTTTAAAAAAAAAATGATACTTTTATTTATTTGGTTTTTCAGTATGTACTGATCCGTTTTTTTTCTTCATTTTTTTTTAACAGGCATGCCCAAAGAAAAATACGAGCCCCCTGACCCTCGGAGGATGTATACAATTATGTCCTCTGAGGAAGCAGCAAATGGAAAGAAATCACATTGGGCAGAGCTTGAAATAAGTGGTAAGACATGGAAACATGGATTTATGTATAGAAACTAAAATTATGGTGAAAAGTTAGGTTTTGTAATACTAATATATAAAAACAGCACATATTTGAATCAGAATTTAAATCTCATTGGCTGCCCATTACTTCTACTTGTGTATGCTCTTCCTCTCACTTCCTTAAGATGTCATGAACTCTAAGGAGAGGGATTTTAGGGTTTTTATTAATATGTTCACTTTGTTGTCTTAGTCTGTAAGAGGTAAGCTTATATTTGGAAGCAGTCTAGTTGAAGTCTGAATGTTGAGACTGTTTTCATAGAGATGATTTAGCTTAAGTTTTCTCTTTTTCTTTTTTCCCTTTTTCTTTCCAAGACAGGGTTTCTCTGTGTGGCCCTGACTGTCCTAGAACTTGTTTTGTAGGCCAGACTGATCTCTACTCACAGAGATCCGTCTGCGATTGCCTCCCAAGTGCTGTAACTAAAGGCGTGCGCTACCACCACCTGGCTGGCATAAGTTTCTTAGAGACTATATTTAAAAGTTCTGTAGGAAGTTGGAGAGATGGCCCCATGGTTCCTAAGTATGTACTGCTTTTCCAGAGGACTACAGTTTGTTTGCCAACACTCATTTCAGGATCATACCAGTCCATCCTTGTAGTTTTTGGTTATATTTATTTAAACATTTAGAATAGTTCCTCTACTCTGTTTATCTAATCTTTCTTTATTACAGGTTCCTCCTTCAGATTTTCTTTTTCTTGCAGTTTATGTGTTGACAATCAAGCATTTTGTTTTCCCAACTTTTATTTTTTAGGTTGCATAGTCAAAATGAAGCTCAGTATGTTCTTCATTTTGAGTATTTTCTACAGATGGGCGCATGGGTCCAGAGTCTAGAACAGACCTGAGGTTTAAGCTTTTGGATAGGATTTAAGGTGATATCTCATAGGTGTCATCATGTAGATGGTGCAGTACCTTTCCTTCAGGAACAATGTTAAGACCCGAAAGCTTTCCTATTGCTGTTTCTTGGCCAAAGCCATTAATTCTTTGAGGATTGCAGTATGGATTCTTTTCTATAATTTTTTCATTAGCTGAAATATATTTATAAAAAGTGACATTCTTCTGTTTACCTATTATTGCCTGATTGTCCTAGTTAGGGTTTTTATTGCTGTAAAGAGACACTGTGACCACAGCAGCTCTTATAAAGGAAAATATTTAGTTCAGGTTTAGTCTACACTCAGGTAGACATAGTGCTGGAGAGGTGTCTATATCCAGATTGGTATGCAGCAGGAAGAGAGAAAGGTGCTGGGCCTGGATTGGGCATTTAAAACCCAAAACTGATCCCTCCTCCTCCATCAAGGCCATACTTCCTAATGCCACTCCCTAAACATTCAAATATGAGTCTTTGGGGTCATTCTCATTCAAACCACCACACTGATAAACATTTTGTATAGGAAGGAAAGCTGTCTGTCATTTTTATAGGTGTGTATGCCAGAGGTTGATAGTAGGTGTCTGCTCAGTTGCTCAGTTGTTCACCTTAGTTTTTGAGACTTTGTCTTTTGCTGAAAAACTTCCCAGCAAAACTGAATGTAAGTCTGTAGTTCCTATATTCCTGCCTGTAGCAGTCTTCTCCCATAGCTAACATCTTTTTTCAGTGATACATTTATTACAGCAATTAGTAAATTGACACATCATCATTCAAAGTCTGTAGTTTACGTTAGGGTTTCCTGTGATGTTCTGCATAATGGTATAGAGGGTATAGAGCAGCAGTTAGGGCCCCTTTGGGGTCATATTCCAGATATTTACATTATGATTTATAACAGTAGCAAAATTAGTTATAAAGTAATGAAACAGTTTTTTTTTTGCTGTTTATTTACTTTGTTTTTTCTTTGCAAATGGGCAGTACTGTACTGTTGACAGAAACTTAGACTGAGTGAGAAGGCAATCTCCAATTAGAAAGTGGCAACACAAGACTCACCACAAACATATCAGTAAAGGCATGTCAGGAGAATGCAAAGAAAAAGAATCCATTGGGATCACAGTATAATCTTATAGAAAATGGTGGAAGTCAAGGCATAAGCAGAATTCATCATGATGTTTATGGTGATGAGAAAAGTCCCCATAAGACTATGGGGATCAACGGTAGCTCTCTAAGTTTCCTCCTGATTTCTCTCATCTCTTCCATGAACATTTTCATATGATCTCCCTCTCCACCCAACACATCATTAATCTGCCTATTGGATATGACTCATCAAAAGTTAGGGGGAGGTCGACCAGCCTGTCCTCTTTGGTTCTGGTTGTTTACAACAGGCTGGAGGCAATAACCTCTTCCCTAAGGCTAGTCTTCTGTCAATTCTGCAGGGGCTGCTCCATTTCTTCATTTTTCTGGATCTCTTGCCTTGCCACATAGACTTCTCAATTCTCACTGTAAGATGCGCTGCCGCAACTCTCAGCAGACCTGCTCTGCTCAGTAAGGGCCTGATGCCAGCCCACCGTGTGCAGGGAAGCATGGAGCTGGTGGCCAGAAGCAAGTCTTAATGAAATAATTGTATGGTCAGAGGTCACCACAACATGAGGAACTGTTTTAAAGGATTGCAGCATTTGGAAGGTCGAGAGCCACTGGTATAGAGGCATGGATCCACCATTATAGTATTACACAGAATAGTTTTTCTTCTCAAGAAATTCTGTTTCAGAATATTCATTCTCCCATGCCTGGCAATCATGTTTCTGTTCTCATAGTTGCATTTTTTGTGAAGGTGGAATAATTGGAATCATACAGTATGTTTTTTTTTCAGATGGGCTTTTTTTTTTTTTTTTTTTTTTTTTACTGAATCCTATGCTTTTCATGACTCAGTTTCATTCTATTTAGTCCTGAATAATGCCACACTATCTGGAAGTACCATCATCTCTTGCTTACTCATGTCCTGTCCTGAAGAATATCTTGTGTTCTTGCATGTTTTGGCATTTTTACATACTGCCACTCCAAACATGTGCCTGTGGATTTTGCTAAGGACCAAAGAAGCTCATATGCTAAGAGTATGCTTGGTTTTTACGAGAAACTACTCAAGTGTTTTCTGAAGTGCACCAGAGCGAACAAAAATTCCTATTTTACAGTCTCCTTAGAATTTCTTGTCCTCGGTGTTTTGAGTTTGGCCATCGTGATGGTGTGTGTTGCTTATCTCCTTTTAAATTCAGTTTCTTAATGACGTAGTATTATCTTTTCATATGCTTGTCATTGATATATTATCTTTGATAAAGTGTCTGTTCAGATCTTTTGACCATTTTAAATAAGTTTTTTCCTTTGTTGTTTAGCTTTTAATAGATCTCTATATAGCATAAATAACAGCTCTGTTGCAGTTTAAATGTGAAACGTCTGCCTTTAGGTTCCTGTGTTTAAATACTTGGTCTCTAGCTGATGGTGTGAGAGTTCTGTAGGCTTTAGGAGGTGGAGTCTTGGAGGAAGTGGGTCATTGGGGAAGGGCCTTGAGGCTATATCTGGCTTGGTTCCATTTTCTGTTCATTCTGTTTTCCTAAAAGTTGATGCTGTATTGGCTTCTTGGTTTTGCCAGCATGCCTTTTCTGCTTTCTACCTTTCTTGTCTTTCCTGCTGTACTGGAATGGAGGCCCTAGAATAGTGATTCTCAAGTTGTGGGTTGTGACCCCTTTGACAAACCTCTATCTCCAAAAATTTACATTATGATTCATAACAGTAGCAAAATTACAGTTATGAAGTAGCAGCAAATCAATTTTTGTTGTAGGGAGGGCTCTTGCTTGTTCCCAGCCGCCCAGACTCCTGCAATAATCACACAGAAACTATATTATTTGCAATACTGTTTGGCCAATAGCTTAAGCATATTGTTAGCTAGCTCTTTCATCTAGAATTAATCCATTTTCATTATTTTATATTTTACCACAATGTTTGTGGCCTACTTGCAAGGTTCCAACATGTTTGTCTCCAGTGGCAGCTCAACTCCTTCTTTCTCCTAGCATTTAGTTTAGGTTCCGCCCCCCCCCCCCCAAAGCTCTACTCTACCCTATCAGGCCAAGCCAGTTTCTTTATTAACCAATGATATTCACAGCATGTAGAGGGGAATCCTATATCACCTCCCCTTTTCTGTTTAAATAAAAAAGGAAAGTTTTATGTTTAATATAGTAAAATTACATATAACAAAACAGTTATCAATTAAGAATTACAGTTACAACATTTACTCTACTTTTTCTTTTATCATAACTAAGGAAAACTATAATTATAACTATATATTCTTAACTCTGTCAAAGACTAGAGAAGGATATAATATTACCTAAGTAACAGAAAGTGCTTTGTAAGCAACTTCCAAATCTCTAGAATTGACAAAGACATCTTGCTACCTGGACAGTCACCCAAAGTTTTTCTATATTATTGGGTCATTTATCTTCAGCCCACAGGCCCATAGTATCCACCAGACTTTTTCATGAAGCAGAAAATTTCAGGCAGTTTTGCCTATATTGGCAGTTTGTCAGTAGCCCCACCAGAGACAGCGCCAGATGGAACTTTACCTGGTAAGCCACAGCCACGTGGCAATACACAGATTAGTAGAAATAGGTTAAATTAAGATGTAAGAGTTAGCCCATAAGAAACTAGAGCTAATGGGCCAAACAATGACTGAATTAATACAGTTTCTGTGTGGTTATTTTGGGATCTGGGCAGCTGGGAAACAAACAAGTGGCCTCCTACAACAGATTTTATGGCTGGGATCACCACAACATGAAGAACTGTATTAAAGGTTCATAGCGTTAGGGAGGTTGAGAGCCATTGGGTAGAACAATAGCCAGAACAAGCCCATTCTTCCCTTATTAGTTCTTGTTAACAACAAGAACTAATACACAAGAACTAATACAAGTCTTTAATCAGATCTCTTTCCCACTCTGTGTTTTCACTTTGGAGATGATGTCCAGGGCCTCATGCATGTTAAGTGTGTTCTTCTACAGAACTACATCTCCCAGATGTGCCCTTGTATAAATAGCTTCTTTCAGCCCGTGGCTTGTCTTC